CTGATTTTTGCATGGTTTGATTTCTAAAAACAAGTGGAATATCATTCTTTAAGCAAACATTATATGGAGGAATATTAAAAAGATATTTTATTTACTTGACAATTAAAAAATCTGTTTTCAAACACAATTTTAGCATTGAAAGACTAAGTTAATCTCTTAATTATTTCATACGACTTTTTGAATTTTTCTAGTTACAGAAAATGTAATAATTAGTTTCGCTGTAAAAAAAAAAAAGATATCAAAGAGTGTATATTTTGTATCACTTTAAAGGGAGTCATTTTTCAATGGGGGTCATTATTTTATAGGACTAACATATAAAATAATGACTCTCAGGACTCTTTTTCTACATAAAATGATTTTTTTCTACGGGTGGGGGTCATTTTTTTGTCGTTGAAAAATGACCCCCGGTCATTATTCGATGGGGGTCATTATTCGTCTTTACACCGGTTACTAGAGACTCATATTTTTCCTTCAATGTATAAAGCAATATGAGTTGCAAGTTGGATGTCGGAAATTTTTTGTACAATATTGTAATTAACAATTTAAATGACAGAAAAAAAACAATTAAAAAAAATATCACTCTAATTGAGCAAAATCTTAATCATGATCTTAGAATATTACATGAATGGTCGAAGAAATGGTTGTTGAAATTCAACCCATAGAAAACCAAAACTGTATTTTTTTTATTTAAAAGCTGTGCAACAATTTCCAAATTTAATTTTTGAGAACTGTCAGTTAGAATATGTCACACAGCACACATATCTTGGGAAACTATTGTCTTCAAATTTGGGTTGGTCTGATCATATTGATAACATTGTGAAGAAGGCTTACAAAAAAATTGTTTTTTTGGAAAAACTAAAATTCAGTGTCTCAAGTGATAGTGTGTCCCTGATGTATATTTCTTTTATCAGTCCACAACAGGAATATGCTGTTGAAGTTTGGTCTGGATAAACAAAAGCAGACATTAAAAAGGTTGAGAAAGTTCAATTATTTGTTGGTCTTACACTTATTGCTTCTAAAAATTCACTGTATCTGGAAACTGGACATGGGGATTTTTGGAAAAAAGAAGAAATCGAACAAATGACTAGCAACAATGTACAAAATACACAATATGAATAATCTAGCACCCACTTATATTAAAAATATTGTACCCGATATTAAAGAAAATATTTCACAATACTCTACTAGAAATTATTCCAACTATTCCTTGCCTAAATGTAGAATTATTTAATAAATCTTTTATTCCAGACAAAGAACGTGGAATGAATTTTATCTCAACATAAGGGAGGCAACTTCCATTAAATGTTTTAAAAATGTTTATCAAGCAATATTGTACAACCTCCAAAGTATTTCTCTTTTGGAAAGAGATTTTGGAATATTATTCACACAAGGCTAAGAGGTGGTTGTATTTTAAACTCTGACCTATTTCGCTGTAATCTAATAGACAATCCAAATTGCTCATGTGGACAAATAGAGGATGCCTATCATTTGTTTTTTGTTTGTAGAAAATATACAACAGCAAGATATTCTATAATTAGTTTTTTATTAATACCATTCAATAATTTGTACATCATAGATGTCCATTTGATGTTATGGGGGTGTTGATTCATTCTCTGATCAACAAAATGTAGAATTTTTATTCATACTATAGATTGTGATAGATTCTCTGAAAAATCTTAATTTTTGTATATAGAATTGTATTTTGATAGCTTACAGTCTTTGACACTACTAATTGATTTGTTACTGAAAATAATTGTACTTTATGGCAGTTTTATAAAACTTTGTATAAGGAAAAGACGATCTAAGATGTAGAACTTGTGTCTTATCCTTTTGGCTTTGTCAGTAAAATACATAGTTGTCTGGACGGGGGTGAGGCTAGGGGGCTTAGTCCCCCACTTTTTTTTGCAAACATTAAAAATTGAGATTTACCTTTTTTGTTGGTTAAGCCCCCCCCCCCCACTTTCAATTTGCTTACGACTCCTATGAAATATGCTCTATTCAGAAAAAAAACATTTTATAAACTTCTATTCTTTTTATCTCAGACGGAAGAACTATTTATATGCCTTGATGGAAGCAAAATTACATCATTGTCGTCATGTACAATATTGATTTTCTTATATAATACTATATACATTCCTTTGAAGATATCTTTCTTCTGAAAACAAAAATATGAATTCGGTGGGCGTTGTCGGGTTTTCTTCAGAAATTGAAGCCGTGCACTATTTCGGCTTGTATAGCGCTATATAAATCTTTAATTAGAACACTTTGCGAGAATAGATGGGTATGGGTTACATAAAGAGAAACTGACAGGAAGCATAATATTTCTGAATATCAGTCTCATTAAACTAAAATGGTTTAAATTGCATACATATTTATCAAAATAGCATATTTATCAGCAAAATTACTGTAATTTCTCTCAAATGCAGCTCATATTGCTTTAATAAATCAAATATGGAGATAAAGAATTCGAACAGTAATCAAGATCATTCAAACAAAACAGGGGATGCTTACTCCTCTACGGCACCTGATCCCATCTGTAATGTTTTTTTTTTCGGTGTCCATGTCTGCTCTATTTCCGTTTTGTATTGTTTGAATGATCTTGATTACCGTTCTATATAAGACATTTGTTTTAATTTGATCCGTGAAATTTTGAATAATAATAAAATTTACGCCACAAAAATTATTCATTTCACTTACTTGTGTAAACATGGATTTATTTATTTCCTCTATTTTGAGGAAAGTTTGTTTGTATCAACTGTCCTTAAAGTTAATTGCAATATGTTTAAATATCAACATGTTTTGCTACAATTCATGGTAGCATACTCGTATATTGGTTATAAAATTAATGTATAATTTTTATATTTATCTATTTTTCGTGTGTGTTTGCAAAGAAAAAATATGGGTTGGAATTTTTAACAGATGATTTCAAAAATCACTATAATAAAAAAAAACAATTACATCGTACATTAAAGGTACTTCGACACAGATTTTAATTTATTTTTTCTCTTTAATGTTACCACTTATATATTTTAATAGCATTTCACACAAAAATTAATTAAAAATCTTATTTCGTTTAAAAGATATTGAAATTTCAAATTTTTCGGCGGGTTTGATTGACATATCCTGGCACTTCCACAAGTTTAGTTTTATTGTTAATCCTTAGGAAAAATGGCAATCTCGTTTTGTATAAATGAAAAATATTAATACTATAATCTAGAATATTCAGAGTAGACACGTTCGAAAGCAAAACAAACACACAATATATTGTCAGTCAGTGCAGTTGTGGTAAGCAGACTGTGACGATTGAACGCACCCGGTGAATTCTAAATATAAACAATAACAGAACTCGAGCCCTGTTACAGAAACTGTGTACATAACACGAGTGTGCTCGATTTGCTAAACTCTGTGCGCATCTCTTAGTTCGGAATGACGATACTTGTGAAGGTGTTTTGCTTTCTAAAATTTTTACTCTGAATAAAATTATTTTTCTTGATAAAAGTTTAAATATTTCTCCTTAAAACACGTCAAAATTGCCACTTTTCCTAAGGTTTAAGAATAAAGTTAAAATTTGTGAAAGTGCAAGGATGTGTCAATCAAACCCGCCAAAAAATTTAAAGTTTTAAAACTTTTAAATAAAATAAGATTTTTAATTAATTTTTGTGTGAAATGCTATTAAAATACCGGTTTATAATTCGTGATATTATACAGAAACCAGAAGTCTCTGTCGAGACTGTAGCTCTACTGGTTGTACTTATAACAAAGGATGAGAAAAAGAAGCCATTGCCATCAGACCAAAACTGTAGAAGGAGGAGCATTTTAAAGGGATTTCACAGACATTTCTATATTTAGTAACAATGGCAACACTGTTCATCAAAATCAAAAACCGATGCACTATTCTATGTATCTTAGTGTAGTCTACTTGTGTGCCAAGTTATATTGAAATCAGACTAAAGTTGAGGAAGGAGTAGCGTTTTAAATGAATTTCACAGAAAATTCTATATTAAGTAACCATGGCAACACCGTTCATCGAAATTAAAAACCGATATACTATTCTATGTATGTTAGTGTAGTCTACTTGTGTGCCAAGTTATATTGAAATCAGACCGAAATTGAGGAAGGAGTAGCGTTTTAAAGGAATTTCATAGAAAATCTATATTAAGTAACCATGGCAACACCGTTCATCGAAATTAAAAACCGATGCACTATTCTATGTATCTAAGAGTAGTCTACTTGTATGCCAAGTTATATTGAAATCAGACCAAAATTGTGGAAGGAGTAGTGTTTTAAAGGACTTTCACAGAGAATTCTATTTTTAGTAAACATGGCAACACCGTTCACTGAAATCAAAAACCGATGCACTATTCTATGTATCTTAGTGTAGTCTACTTGTGTGCCAAGTTATATTGAAATCAGACCAAAATTGTAGAAGGAGTAGCGTTTTAAAGGTATTTCACAGAAAATTCTATTTTTAGTAACCTTGGCAACACCGTTCATCGAAATCAAAAACCGATGCACTATTCTATGTATCTTAGTGTAGTCTACTTGTGTGCCAAGTTATATTGAAATCAGACTAAAACTGTTGGAGGAGTAGCTTTTTTAAAAATTGTTTACAGACAGACGGACAGACAAACAGTAGAGACAGACAGACAGACAGATGAACGGACGCCGGACGCATTACTATCGCATAAGCTCTTCTGGTCTCTGACCAGTAGACCTAAAAATGAGAAAATATTAATTTCAAATCTGTGTCCAAGTACCTTTAAGGTGAGCTTAAACATTTGCAACATTCGTAAAAGCCGGATGCATTGAACAAAATGTACATGTATACGTACAAATGTATTCATCATAAAACTCCGTAATTGATGAACAATAACTAGGAGTAGCTTTTTTTTGTAAATAAAAAAAAAATAAAAATAAAAATATACCTGATTATACCATAATGTACATGGATAAGTTACAAACACGTGGATTCATGTCATTCACACATTATAGTTATATGCAGAGTCCACGGTTTGCGTTATGGGAGTGCGTGCAATAATATATACGGATTATCAATAAGGGAGTTACTCATATCCTCCTATTGATTTTACTGCACGGAAATTCTTACAAATGCATCAGGTGGTCGATAATAATCCTACTTCACAACATGTCCAACTTAACCGTGGACGACTGGTTAAATCTGGCCCCCTGTCCCCCTCCTTGGAACCCGGGGCTGCTCTACTGGACCCCACACCCGGTAAATCTGACCGAGGGAGAGGTAGAGAGGATCGCGGAGAAATGTAACGTGCCCCCCAAAGACAGGCTGATTATGAGTACATCTGTACCGAACACCTCCGATGTGTTACCTCCCGTGTTGGTGTCGGTTTCTGTAGTTTTTTTATTGGGGATTTTGATTGCTGTGTTGGTTTACAGGTAAGATGGGTGGGTGATTGGGGTTTTAATTCTTTTATTTTCTCTGTCTTATTTTTGAAACGATTCACATCAAACATACCTGTTTTGATTGACATAGTTTTAGGTCAAATGAATATAACATATAGACAAGAGGCCCATATGGGCCTATATGTCACCTAGCTGAGCATTATGCAACAACTTTCCAATGATTGAATTTGGTTCATGTTTTAAACTAGATGCCACGACATTAACAGTTTTGGAAAAGGCACCATTTCTCATCATAACTATACACTTAGCAATTTCTTAATTTGGTTACTTAATACCCATAAGCAGGGTAGGGGAACAAAAGCGCATTTCAACTAGTCGGTAATATTCAGCAATAATCAGTAGTGCCACTACCACACATAAACCCCTGACCCTAGGTCCTACATTTCACAATTTTGGAAAAGGCACCCTTGCTTAACAAAAATGTTTGATTAATACCAATTAAGGAGCAATACAATAAATTCATTTTCAGTAATAAGTAGAGCCCCCCTCCCCTCTATGGTATTCCTGACCCAGGGCATTGAAATTCACCATACTGGAAGAAGGGCCCTTGCTCATCATAGCTCAATAGGTAGTTCATCTGCTTAATACCCAGGAGCAAAATTGATTTTCAAAGATTTAATGTATTTTCACTATATAATCATTAAAGCCCTGCCGTAACACCAGGCCCCAGGATCATGAAACAAACTTAGACTTAAGTCAAATTTTTAAATGCCTGGAAAATGTTTATTAATTATTAAACGAATATCTAATTTTGTAGATACATGTAGCAACACTTTTGTAAATCAATATCAATAAATATTTTAATTTTTGTCTACTTGCCTTAATCAAAATTATAGTACAACATGACTATTTCGACTTAAGCTTAAGATGTTTCATGATCCTGTAGCCAGATCCCCCAACCCTAAAGCCATAAATTTCACAATTTTGGAAGAGGCATTCTTGCTCAGCATAACTATGTGCTTCCCATGCAGTAGCAGAGAAGAATATTTTCAAAAATTATGCTGCATTATCACTTATAATCACTAGAGCTCCACCCGAACATCAACATTCCATTCTTGCTCATCATAACTATATGCTTAGCTAGTTTATTTAATTACCAATTGACCTTGTCCTTGCAGTTTGACTTACTCTTCTAAAGTTCATCAAACTTTAGTTCTTTGAACTTTAAACTTTAAAATGGTCATAACTTTACAAAGGTTTGCTAGGTCTTTCTTATATGGTTTGTCATGATTCATGTGACAAGGCATTTCCTTGAGCGCAAGTATTTTTAGGTCACCTGAGTAAACTCAGATGACCTATTGCTATCTGTTTTCATCTGTCGTCGTGCGTCGTTCGTCGTGCGTTAACATTTGAACATTTTTAGCTTCTTCTCCGAAACCACTGAACCAATTTCAACCAAATTTGGCATATAGCATCTATGGGTGAAGGGGAAAAAATTTATGAATTTCATGGTCCCTGCCCCCATTGGGGTCTGAGGGTGGGGCAAAAATCACTAAAATTAGTGCAATCTTTAAAAATCTTCTCTTTACTCCTGGACATCAAACAGTTGAACTGTTGGTATGATTGTAATCAACATTGTTTCCTCTACCAAAATTGTGAAATTCATGGCCCCAGGCTCAGGGATTCTAGTGCTAGGGAGGGACTAAACAGGTTCCTGCTGAAGCGGGTTATGCATTCAATTCCATCTTAAAAATGAAATAAAATATTTTTAGTTGAAATAATAATTTCAATATCTGTTTTTTTTTTTGTTCCCAGTTACAAACACAAGAAGCACAAGACGGGAGACAGCTGTGTACAGGGTTCTAGGTGTGACCTGCTCGAGGAGATGCAGGGCCGCGGCCACCACGGCTGTGACAACGAGACGTACACGGAACTGAAGACTGAAAAATTACCACATTCTGACGAGACAGTCTCCCAGCAGGGACACAAGAATTTACCACATTCTTACAATACAAACACCCCACGAAGGACTACAGATTTCCAAATGTCAGACATCAAATGGCAAAGTAATGATAGAAAACGGGGCATTTCCATGACAGAGAGTTAAATTGTGAGTCAGTCTGATAAAAGCCAACCCCTTTCCGTTATCGTTTGGAGTAGTCCGAGAAATCTGACGATTTCCAATTTTTTTTTACGATTAAGATATATTTTACAAACCAAGAAAACCTGTCATGTAAAATATCAAAATCGTAAAAGCCTGGAAAACATCAGATATTTCGGACATTTTTCGGAGATGGAGGGCAGCGGAGTATGTTGTAGTGATGGGGCTGGTGTTATTCAGACTGCAATGTGGTTTAGCAATCATTTCTGCAATGGATGAGTATTGGCATAGCTAACAAAAAGGCAAGTGATCCTGAGGAACACCTTGATGAGCGGATCCAGGCAATGGTTGGATTTTTTTGTATTCATTGTTGAGATTGCTTAAAAAAAATAGTAAGCCTTTAGAATCCATGCACTGTGGGCATATCTGGCAACTCCTACATATCAACTTTGTTGTGTGTTTTGCAACAAAGTTCTCATCTTTTTTTGTGAACATTGGCATGCAATGTCTCGTTCTAAGGTATTACTATAGTATGCCAACAATTGTTATAGAATGTTATATATTTTAGGGTAGATTAGCTTTACTCCAGTTTACCCTTTTAATCAAAATTTACCTCTGGCTTCTTCCATTGTTATTTTCCTTTTAGATTTACCTGTTGTTATTTTCATGTTATTTGTATAAAAATAATAGAAAAATAAAATTAGTAAATATAATAGTCCTTTATGTTAATTATTATTCTTTTGACGATTTTCTGATTTCGAGGAGATATTATAATTAGATGATTTTGCAGTGTAACTTGTAATTGATACTTATGTTATCAAAGTTCATCATGACTATAAGAAATTAATTGAATAATATATAGTTGGATCTTCTAAAAGATCCAAATCCGTAAAAATTAGAATTGTATGAGCATTTGTTACGAAGGGCATGACCAAAGAGACGTAAATTCAACATTTATTCAGTTCGAACGACATTTTAAAGCTTAACACAATTCGGAAAAAGAAAAGCTCTGTCTTTTCTAGTTCTTTTGCCTGACCACATTTTCATTTTACCGCAAGTTGCTTTCACATTTCACCTGTTAGGACGTATTCTATATTCAATAACGACAAAATTATGCTTCTGCGGTATCTGTAGTAAAAATACAAAAGGGGTACTCATCTCTTATGCACAACTCCCCCTATACCACTCAAATTTAATGAAACTTATACATTGTCAGTGCTACATGTATATATGTAATTGTAACATTTTACTTTTTGACCGCACATACATGTATAATTGGGGTTTCCCAAAGCAAAATGCGGACACTGTCCTTCCTTCGATACTGGGGGTACCCATTTCTTATCCCCAACTTCTTCTATACCACTATTAACGTTTTGATCTAACACTTATTTCGGGTCACACATAGTCACAAAAATGGAGAAGACATAAACGGTGGTTAAAAATCTCAGGAACAACTCACAGGTACTTGTGGGCAGGACCCCCCCCCCCCCCCCATATACACCACAGGTCAAAATATCTTTTTAATTTTTTTTCTGATGAATTATGTTTCTAGTACTTATTTACAATGTATTCTATATGAAAAACCCAAAAAATAACATAGATTTAACGATTTACCAAAAAGTCATACCCTGGTATTATAAAATATTATAATTATACAAGTACCTGTGGAACAACTGATCCAGAAAAGCTGAAACTTATAAGGAAGCATCTTGGGGAAGAAATCATATTTGATACACTAATACCCTCTAGTCTAATAGATAAATTACCCATATTACCCTTAACGACATTTAGGTCTGACAGAGATCAAACATTTAAGCATTGAATTCATATTTTGGGATGTCTTCTGTCCTATAACACACCTGGCCGTACCGACAAATTGAATACCGCGCTTTAGCGCGGTATGATAATTTGTCGGCATGGCCAGGTGTGTTATAGGACCGAAGACATCCCAAAATATGATTCAATGCTTATATTTACATTCTCTAATCTTCCTTTATCATAATTCTTTATTTCGTTCATGTTTAATGTGAATTTGGTGTGCTTAATAAACGTAATAGCCGTTCGTGACGTTGCAAATCTGTTTGTGACGTTGGAAAGTTAAATAACGCAAATAAACATTGCGAGGAAAAAAAAGGACAAATTAATCTGTAATGCACATTTGTTGTATTTTATGTTAATTTAAAAGGGAATTTTTTTTAAATGAAATTGAGTCAAAACAATATACATTTTCGTGTTCCTAAATTTTGAAAATGCATCTAGTACCTACTGTGGGTTCTAACGCACGGTGACAAGGTTTCGCGTGTGTTATAGAAATTTGAACGTCGTGAATTTCTAATGGATTTCATAAAGAAAATTACACTGAATGTAAATATTATTGTATGCACCTTACATCTGGACCAATTACAAGTGTCCAAAAAATTATACTTGGAAAAGTTCTTCCTGCACGTATTGTAATTGTGTGCTACAATGAAGCATAGCGAGATTTTTTTTTGCCAGCACCTACCGGTACGACAGGGGACCTCGGATGCTCACTCCTCCATGGCACCTGATCCCACCTCTGATGTTTCGGAGGTCCGTGTTTACTCTGCTCCTATTTTGTATAGTTTAATTGACTTTTGATCTTGAATACCGTTCATTATCTCTACATGGTTCATTTATACGATCTCATCCGAAGAACGGATCTCCACATTCCACAATGGGATTCGAACTCGCGACTCTAGAGCATGAAATGTTCCGTACATTTATACATGATATTGTTGATTCTTAAATGCCTTGTCAAAAAAGAAAAAAAAAGAAAAATATGCTAATTAAGGATACTTGTGGTATGGTTTTGAGTTTTACGTATTTCCTTTTTACGATTTATCGGCCATTTGTACAGGGAATATTAATAAGAGAGCAACACATCCTCATGTTTTATTATTGATTTTCCTTGTGAACGGGAAATCGAAATATAGCAGGTACTCGATAATGTTTACAATATGTCGAAGTTAACAGTGGACGACTGGCTAAATCTAGCCCCCTGTCCCCCTCCCTGGAACCCGGAGCTGCTCTACCGGACCCCGCCCCCGGTAAATCTGACCGAGGGGGAGATACAGAGGATCGCAGAGAAGTGTCATGTGCCCCCTAAGGACAGACTGAGTGCATCTGTACTGAACACCTCCAGTGAGC